CATCACAGGGGTGCACGGCGTGCCAGATTTGTGAAGGGCCCTGGTACTGTTCTACAGAACTCCCAGTGGGGTCTCGGTCCAACTCGCTGGCCACCCAGAAAGCCTCAGGGTCGTATGTCTTTCCACCACCAGGCGGCCCCTGGATGACCTCCAAGACGGCCACGATGGACCAGAATGGCCTCGAAGTTTGACCGATCTGGATAAGCTGGCCTCCAACATGGTCCCAAGACGTTTCCAAGAAGGCCAAGATGGCCCCAAGACGTTCCAAGATGTCCTCCAGACGGTCCAAGAGGCCCCTCTGAGGCCTACGAGGGCTCCAAGAGGTCCTCCAGTACGCCAAAATCATTGATTCCGGTACGTTTGTCAAGGATTTCAATTTTCGCGCCTTTTCGGCATTCCGTTGCTACAAGGCGGCCCCGTAATTAGGCCTCCAGGATCGCCCCAAGACAACCCCAAGGGCCCCCCTGAGGCCCGCAAGACGGCCCAAGAGACTCCCGAAACGGTCATGAAACGCCTTAAATAGGACCCACGACTGCCAGGGAAAGCCCAAGACCACCTCCGAAGACCAAGAGGCCCCTGAAACCTTCCAAGACGGCTCCAAGAGGACGTTAGGAGGCCAGAATCCGTTATGTGACGTTCGTAAGGTTGGTAAATTATCTAAGCTTTCTCGCATGTTCGGGCTTCTGGCGCTCTTCAAGAGGACCCCACGACGGTGCAAGATGTCCTTCAAGACAGCCAACAAGATGGCCCAATGTGGCCTCCAAGATCATCTGAGACTCCTCCAGACGGCCAAGATTGCCTCCATAGGGGCCAAGTATGGCCCCAATATGCCGCCAACATGGCCCAAGATGGACCCAAGACTACTCACGATTGCCTCAAAACGGTCTAAGAGGCCCCCGCGACGCTGCACGTTGCTCAAAGAGGACCTCCTGGAGACTACCAGGAGACCACCTGTCATTGATTGGCCTTTTGTCGTTGACTGACTTCGGTCCTGGAAGACACCTTAGACGGCTCAATACGTAGTATGGTCTCCAAGACAGCCAGCATGGCCTCCAAGAAGGCTAACATGTCCTGCAAGACGGCCAGGATGGCCGTAAGCCACGACGGCCCCACATGCTTTCCACAACGGCCAACATGACCCGAAGACCACCACAGATGGCTCCAAAACGGTCCCAGATGGCAACAAGAACCCATCAAGAGGCGCCCGAAAGGCCTCCAGGAAGCCCCCAGAGGCCCCCAAGATGCCTCCATTCCGTCTCCTTATAGACCACTTCTCCCCGTCGCACCCCGAGGCAAATTTTTAGGGCCGGCCGGGCGTTTCGCCTGAGACTTCCTCACCATGTATGGCTCTGAAGCTGAAAAAATACAACAGTTTCACAGATGGAGGGCGGGTGGTTTTCAAAATGTGGCTCTCGCCTTAGCGCCGCGCACATTCCTTTTCAACATGTGCAAGAGTTTAACGAATTGAAGTGTGTTTCTCGCCTTGGCGTCGCGTACTTTGGTTTTCAAAATTCGCAAGACCTTCACGTATTGAGGGCGGGTTCTTTTCAAAATGTGGCTCTCGCCTTAGCGCCGCGCACTGCAAGAATTTCTCGGATTGAGGGCGGTCCCTTTTCAAAATGTGGCTCTCGCCTTAGCGCCGCGCACATTCGTTTTAAAAGTTTGCAAGATCTTCACGGATGCCCATGATCAACGTACCAGAAATGGTCTTTGAGAAAGATTCTGAATTATGCGGGTGCAACAAATGTGTTGATTCGCGATGTTGGAAACTAAAAAATGGCGTCATGGCACGATTCCGGATCGTCAAAACGAAGGAGTCAGGTTGATACGTGGCTATGAAATTGCGAGAACAATGTTTTTGCATGCTTCAGGATATTCAAACGGTTTTCTTCCAACGAGGCAGTTCCCTCAATGGAAATGAGCCGTGGTATGGGCCTGTGAAGAGGGAGCTTGGAGGGAGGGTTAATTCCAACATCGTTGATGACTCTTGGGTTTACACTGGTCCTCCTCCTCCTCCTCCTCCTCCGGCTTCCTCCTTACGCTCGTCCTCTCCTCCTCCCCAAAAGTTTCCCCCAATGATTCCCGCAATAGCCAGGGGAACACATGTTCCAACAGCTTTGCCAAGCTTTCGCCCAACGTTTGCCCACAGAGGTGATTCCAAAACGGCAAGGGGGCGGCGGTGGTTCGCGGCAAACGTCTTCGATAACATGCACCAATCATGGGTCCAAACATGATCCCGGGTGGAGGGTTCACAGGTCTCCCCCGACATGGGATGCGCCCCACGATTCCACAGGCCCCCCTCAGATGAAATGGGGGGGCGGCGACGACGACGAAGACGAATCCGAAAAAGACGACGTGACGACGGCGACGACGATGACGACGACGACGACGACAACGACGACGACGACGACGACGGCGGCGGCCGCGGCGGCGGCGGCGGCAACGACGACGACGACGAGGACGACGACGACAACGACGACGACGGCGGCACCGCAGCACCACCCCACACCCACAAGGGGAGGGGCGGGGGCACCGCCGACCCCCTCCACCAGGTCACGCCCACGGGGCCGTGGCCACAAGGGGGGGGTGCAATCCCGTTTGCTCAAGGGCGTACCCGCGTACCCCTCCAGCGGTCATGTATACCCCCCCTGGGGAGGAGGGGCCCGCCCCTTGGGTCATGTATACCGACCCTACACTCAGGACCAACGTAGCCAGGATGGGTGTGGGTGTGAGTAGGGAAACCAACAAAATACCATACTGCTATTCCCCAGACCACTTCTGGGATTCGTTCCGGCGAAGTGGCGTTCTCACAAGAAATTCAGGGCGAATCCACTAGTGGCGACGAGGGCTTCCGAGAAAACCCAGAAGGGGCGAAGACGAGGAAAGGGTAGCGGTACCAGCACCTTTTCCTTCTCTGAGGACGGTCAGGGGCTCTTGGACAGCGTGTCACAGCAGCGGCAAGGCTCGGGAAAGCTCGGGGACGTTGACGCCTCAAGGGCCGCGACGTGGACAGCGTGTCGCGCCGAGACGTGGTGGGCCCGAACCGGCAGACCGACACGCTGTCCCGAAGTTCCCGACCGTATGGCTGGCGCCCGCCGAGGCCTCGGGACGTTGGCGTCCACCTCCCAGTCGAACCGCAGCAACAGCGGCAGGTCCCCGCCAGACGACGGGGCCCCGAAGACGGGTCTTACCTCGGGGTTGGGCAGCACCCACTGTAGCGACACGCCCTTTAGTGAAAGTCGCCAGGGACACTCCACGTGCTGACGGATTTCGAGTGGACCCTGGCGGATCAGCTAATCGACGTCCAAAAACAGCCGCACGCATCCGGCGACGCGCACGTCGATTCGCGAAGTCGACTGCGGACTTTACGGGTAATTGCACTCCCGATGTCCAATGAACTGGCGCAGATTTCATCCTTCGACTCGCCTAGACGAAGAAAAAACTACATAAACATAAACTGTTGGAGGTGTGCGCGGATTTCTTGGCCCTGGGTTCGAACCCCCTCCCTGGCGCGCGGAGCGCGCCAGGGGCGGCGCCGGAGGCGCCGCCGGGGGGGGCCAGAGGGGATCCAAGAAATCCGCGCGGAGCGTCGAAAGTTTCTGGTAGCCCGCTCCCCTCTCACTTTTTTAACATCGCAGACCGACACAGTCGCAAGAGTGAGGTGCAGCGGCACCTCGCCGCGCGGACTGCCACCGGCGCTGTTTATGGCGTTTGTTTTTCTTTTTGACTGTCTGGGTGAGCGCCCCGTGACGAACGAACCACACACACACACACCCATACCCACAAGGGGGGTCGTTGGGAGGAGGCCTGGCTATGGGTATGGGCGCGGGCTGTCGACCCGAGCGGGAACGCCCCCGTTCGAGCGGGGACCCCCATACGACAACACGCGCCCACAGCCCTCTCCGACCCCCCTTATGTTGGAGGCCTAGACATGGGCACCAACACCAGCATAGGGGGCTGCCTCCACATGGGGAAGATGATCCTAGATTTCGGTGTTGGTGGCAATATCTCGGTCACCTCGGAAACCAAAATATTACCACCATCACCGAGATCGGGATCTTCTTCCCTCGGTAGATGCACACCGCCGATATCGGTGTCGGTGTCAATCTCTAGGCCTGCGACTATGGGTATGGGTGTGCGTTGTTTGGGGAAACCAGAAGGTACCGATACCGCTACTCCCCCGACCTCTCCCAGGGTGCGTCCTGACCAGGCTTCCGAGGCGAATCCGGCGGTGGCGACGGGGGCCGCCCAGGAGCCCTCAAAAAGGGGGGAAACGGGCGCGAGGGGGTAGAGGTACGGTTGTACCCTTCTCTTCTTTGAGTGTTGCTTCGTCGCTCCTGGCATGCCCGATCGCCGTGGGCGGCCCGGCGGGGGCGAACACCCAGGGAATCCGCAGGAATTCTCACGGGATCCTTGGGGCTTCCTAGGGAATCCTTCGGAAATCCTGAGGGACCTTCTGGAGTTCCCAGGGGGTCCTTGAGAATTCCTAGGGGATCCTTGGGAATCCCTGTTGCTTCGTCTCTCTTGGCGTGCCCGAGCGCCGTGGGCGGCCCGGCGGGAGCGAAGCGGGGGCAGCGCACGCCCAGGGGCCGCGACGGCACCGAGGCCAGCTCCGGGAGCTGCCGCGCGTCGGCGTCCTCGCTTGTGGCGCTAAGTGTCGGGCGTGCCCCTCTACAGGGGGAATTTGTTTGACGATTTGTTCTGGGGGCGATTTTTCTATTTTGTCGATCTGCTCGATTTTCTCTGGGGACGTGCTTGTCAACAAATAGCCTGGGGACTATGTTTTGCAATTGTTTGGCCATCTTTGGGGCATTTTGGGAGTATATATGGTCCAGGGCTTCGGCCCCCCCCCCCCCAATGCTGATGCCATTGGGCCCCCCCCCCCCGCGCGATGGTCCCCCCCGCCCCCCCCTGTGGGCGTGGCGTGGTGCTGCGCTGCGGTGCCCCCCCCCCCCCTGTGGATGTGGTGTGGTGCTGTGGTGGTTCAGAAGTGGGCGTGGCGTGGTGCTGCGCTGCGGTGCCCCCCTCCCCCCCCCTGTGGATGTGGTGTGGTGCTGTGGTGGTTCAGAGTCGTCGTCGTCGTCGTCGTCGTCGTCCTCGTCGTCCTCGTCGTCGTCGTCGTCGTCGTCGTCGTCGTCGTCGTCGTCGTCGTCATCGTCGTCGTCGTCGTCATCGTCGTCGTCGCCGTCGTCATCGTCGTCATCGTCGTCGTCGCCGCCGCCGCCGGCGTCGTCGCCGCCGCAGCCGTCGTCGTCGTCGTCGTCGTCGTCGTCGTCGTCGTCGCCGTCGTCGTAGTCGCCGTCGCCGTCGTCGTCGTCGTCGTCGTCGTCGTCGTCGTCGTCGTCGTCGTCGTCGTCGTCGTCGTCGTCGTCGTCGTCGTCGTCTCTGGGACCATACCATCTGGGGGGGGGGGGCCCGAGGAATCCTGGGACCATACCATCTGGGGGGGGGGGGGGCCCGTGAACCCTCGACCCTGGATCATATATTTCCTTTATTCTTCCAAAAATCTGCCTGTAGGGAGACATGCCCGACCTAGGCTTGGTGAGGAGGCTTCGGGCTGCGGACGAGGCGCCCCCCCCCAGGCAGTCCCAGCTGCAGGAGAGCCCAAGACTCGAATCGACACGTCGGATCGGGGGACGGAACGACTCGGATCGTCGGAAAGCAGCATCGACATCGGGAGAACGTCGAATCGGCGGATTTCGGCAGGCCAGTGTAAGGCCTCATGGAGAAACCGAGCACCAAATCGGAATCCGAAGTCGAATCGAATCGGAGTCGGAATCGATCGAGATCGAATCGAAACGAGTCGGGGCTTTGCAGGCCAGCTGGGACTCACTGCTCTTAGCTGCCCCGATACGCAACACGCAACACGTAGCGCATTGATACGGAGCTCAACACGTAGACTGGAAACGTAGGCATGACGCAATACGTTCGCCAAAACGTGTGCCAATACGCTGAGCCAACACGCCACGTATTGACACGGACGTTTTAAGCACGGTACGTGTTGCACATCAAAGCGGGAGTATCGAAGCAGCTAAGGGGCTGTCTGTGCGCAACCCGGAGCCTTACAATCCTCGTTCAGGGCGCCCGGCCTCAGCCGCCAGAGGCGCAGCACGATCCCGTCTGTGAGGTGGTCCTCGAACCTCGCGTCGGACAGCAGGAAGCAGTCATCCTGCATCCGCGCGACTCCGACCGGTTGCCAGTCCGCCTCGGAGCTCTGGCACGCGCCGCGGAACTGCAGGGTGTACGGCGCGGGGACGTCTGGCAGCCCGTCGCGGTCCTTGCGAGGCGGGGATTCATCCATATCCACCGCCTGGGAACCGACGTCCTGGTACCCCAGCGGGCAGCGGCTGTGGACATATTTCGGCCCCCCCGGGCGGAGAGCAACTCCCGGCGTTCTGTTGTACAGTGGTCTGTGACCTTTCCCGTTTGCTGCTCTCACCCACACGCATGCATTTACCCGTGATAGCTTGAGACTACAATTTCTTGCGCAATACATTTTTTTTGGGGCCCGGGGGGCCCGAACATGTCCATATCCACCGCCTGCCGAGGCTCCGAAAACTGAACCTCCAGGCGGTGGTCATGTACAAATTCCCGCCTCGGAGTCCTCCTCGCGGACGGGGAGCTCCGCGAACGAGATGTAGGCCGTGCAGTCCTCCAGCAGCTGGCCCGGGGTGGGCTCGGGCACCGCGGCCTCGGACGGAGGGCGCGGCTCGGGGAGGGACACGGGGGTCCTGTGCCAGGCGCTCTCGACGAACTCGGACCACTCCTCCGGGTGCCCCGAGGCCGGGTTGAAGAGGAGCCGCGCCCGCAGCCGAAACTGATAGCGCCTGGAGAGCCCCAGGTCCTGGGCGGTGAAGAACACCCGAGCGCCGGCGGCGCCCTCTCCCAGGTCCTGCGGGTGCACGCCGAGCCCTGTCGCGTCGTCCACCTCGCAGAGCACGACCCCCGCCACCTCCCACGGAGTGGCCTCCACGTGCGAGGCCTCCTCGAGCTCCTGCGCACTCGGCCGGTCGACGACCATGCAACGCGATTGGATCTCGTACTCCATCTTGCTTCCGCCCCACAAGCTCTGGGAGAAGGGCGACCAGGAGATCTCAAGCCGCTCCGCGGCGATCGGCGGGAGGAACTCCGCCCCGGCCACGTCCGCTGGCAGCTCGACCAGGCCAGCGGGCCTGAGGAGCAGCCCGCCGTCCTCCGGCGGCCGCGGCGCAGAGATCCGGATCGGCGCCGCCATGGCCTCCGACCACTGCGAGACCCGCCACGACGACAGCCACCGCACGGCCACCCTGTTTGGCGGCGCGCACAAGGGGGCAGGGGGAGTGGGGAAGGCTTCTTAGAAGGAGGCTGCTGCCTTAGAAGGCGCCGGCCTTACATCTACAAAGAAGGCCCGCGCCTTCTAAGAAGCAGGGGTGTTTCTAAGAAGCCTTCCCCCCTCCCCCTACCCCCTTCTGCGCGTGGCCAGCCTGTACCCTCGGCCGTACACCAGCGCGCCGAGCGCGAGCACATGCTCGAACTCGAGCGGCCCCAGCTGCTGCACATCCTCTCCGCCGCCGCGCACCGTGGAGAACTCGGCGCCCAGCACGCCGCGCTCCAGGGGGCCCGCCGCCTCCCCGAGGAACCCTGCGGTCCCCCGCAGCGCCTGGCGGGTCTCGACCCAAACTGTGTTTTGGCGTTTTTTTTGGGGGGGGGCCGCTTCGGCTGTGATGTCGTTTTGCCGCAGGGGCGCAGCGAAGACAGAGCGAGGGAAAGCAAGCACACAGCACGAGAACGGAACGCACTGCTTCGGTCGAGTCCTGGGGCCTGGCATGCCTCTGGCGTCCTCTCCAGCGGCAGCCGAACTGGCGGCAGCAGGACGGAGTCCCCGCCCTCCTCCTCCACGCGCAGCTGGTACTCCTGGTCGGGGGCGACCAAGAGAGGGGCGTCCAAGAGGGGGGGGGCGCAAACCATGGCCGTCGGCATGTGCGCGGCCCAGGGGGTGGGGGGGCGGGGACGTATTGAAATAAGAAGAGACGCCATGAAGTCTGAGGAAATATCATAGCCCCCGCCATGATGTCCAACCCCCCTAAGTCATCACCTCCCTCTTGGCCGCCCCCGACTCCTGGGGCAGGGAGCCCTGGCCGACCGCCTCAGCGCCCCGGAAGCGGACGCACAGCACGAGCGCGGAGTGCGGCGGGAGGAGCTTCAGCCGCAGGCCTTCCACGACGGGGGGCACCGGGGGCGCCACGACGCACACCGCGCTGCGCGAGGTCTCGCAGTCCCCCACTCGCACGGTGCGGAACTCCAGCTCGTCCGCCCCGAGGCCCTCCGGGAGGCATGGCGTGCCCACGGCCCTCGGCTCGGAGGCGGCCCCGAGCGGCACGTTCCTGGCCTCGTCGAACTCCTCCTGCGCTGGCAGCGCGGGCACGAGGCACACCGGCTTACCGTGCAAAGACAGGAAGAGCGACCTGCAAGTCAGCCACTCGGCGCTCTGGCCCCTGCGGCACTGCACGGCGTAGCTGCCGTACGTGAGCGCCTCCAGGTGCAGCGGGTCGCGCTTCTGCCCCACGGGCACCAGCGAGACTGCCGAGGCCGGCCTGCGCTGGAAAGGCCACTGGAAGAGCGCGAAGGGCGTGGCACCCAGCTGCGCGAGTTCGGGGATCTTGTCCCACACCTCCGGCGGGACCGGCAGTGGCCGCGGGGGCGCGGACGGCGGCGTCGGCAGCAGGGTGGCGAACTCGAGGGGCTCGTACGCCTGCATCCAAAAGGGGTCCCCGTGGCGCTTCCAGCGCCAGTCCAGTGCCACCTGGTACGTGCAGCCCTGCAGAAGGCAGGCCATTGCACATGAGCAGCGTCTGCCACCGATAGCCTTGTCCGAGGCCTTCTCGAGGACCACGGCAACCGTCTGCCACGGCGTGAAGGCGTGGTGCGGGTCAGAACGCTTGGTGCAATCCTCCTTGTACCCGCGCCGCGCCCGGTCCACGACCCCGACATCTGGGTCGGGTACAATGATCGGGGCACCGTTGTCTGCACTGCCAGCTGAGCGGAACTCCCTAGTGAGCTCCTCCAAAGCAGCGCGCAACGCCGCACGGTCATTATGGGCGCTGACGTGCCATCGGCAACGAAGCCGGTACTCAACCGTGACCGATAGCGAAGGGCTTATGCTCTTGGGGCCCCAGATGCCCTGCGGGAAGGCGAGAGGGGGCCACGAGATGTCGGCTACTGGGCAGCGGTAGTTGTGCCGCTCGTCTTGTCCGAGCAGCCTCACCACGAGCCCGCCCTCGCCCTCACGGACGCCGTGGTGTTCCAGCGACAACATGGCAGGATCAGAGTCCTCTGACCATGTGGAGAAGGTCGCACTAGTGGCGATGCGGATGCTGAAGCAGTAGGCCGTGTGGTAGCACAGGTCGTGAATGGGCGCATAGGCCTCCACTCGCAGAAACCCGCCGTCGCTGGTCTTCGTCGACGAGTTGACCACGCCCACCTCGCATACGGTCCAGGCCCCCCTGTCGCGAGGGTCCACGTCGGCCCTGCGGAACCTGAGCTGGTACGCCTGGCTGCTGGCGATGCAGCTCGCGAACACTCGCACGCGCGCGCCGTCGAGGCAGGGGGCGTCGATCCACTCGATCTGCACCTCTGGTTTCGATGGGTGCGGCAGCAGAGACACGAGGGTGGGCGCGGAGGCGTAGCCGAAGTGGCTCGTGCGAAGGGACGCGACGCGGTACGTGGCCCAGATGGCCTTGTCCTGCATCGACTGCGCGATGTCCTTCAGGCCTTCCTGGAGACCTGCGACCAAGTACATGCGGCCCTCGCCCTTGCCGGAGAGGATCTTCGCCTCTGGCACAGTCCGCCACTCGTGCTCCTCCATATGGGGCACGGAAGAGGCGCCGAAGTAGGACAACGACGAAGACTTGAGTCGGTACTGCAACACGTAATGGGCCTCTGGATCCGACTCGACAGAACCATCAGAGTTTGGGATGGACATGAGATTTCGTTCCGCTGGAGGCTCATCGGCACTGACCACTGCGATGTCCACGGCAATGTCTGGCACCCGGAGAATGCACGAGAGTTGGTCCGCGCTGTCATCCATGGAACTGCCCACGTCCATCGCGAGGCCTTCCGACTGGATCTCTAGGAATCCGCCACCGTGCTGCAAGGCACGAGTTGAAGTGTCGTCAGGGTCCCTTTAGTCCCCAGCCCTCGATCCTCAGGATGAAGAATTAAGAGGCCCGAACCCAAGATTCTTACACCTCCTTGGGCTCCCCGTGGCTTTCCCGCGGTTCCCCGAGTCTTGTCGACAGATTTTCTCGCGCCCAAGAGTGCTCAAACATGAACATGCATCCAAGCGGCCTCTGACCCGTAACCCAGGCACGGTGGGCGGGATTGGCCGAAGGCCACTCGATCCAAGCTGCTGGGGCACAGGCAGGGGCAGCAGCGATAGCCGCGGCAGCAGCACATCCACCGAGTAGATCGCCTCCGACCACCGCGGCCCTGTGATCACCGGGCACCGGCAGGCCACGAACACGCGCACGTCGCACCGGATGTGCGGCAGCCTGTGTCTCGGCAAGATCCGCACCACACGCCGTTCTCGCGGCTCGATCCAGCCTTCCAGGCAGACCGCGGAGCGCTTGCGCTCGGCTGCGACCGAGCTGTCCTTCAAGGAGCAGGCGTGGCCGGCGAAGCGCGTCGTCTTCTCCTGGCAGCCCAGGGCGCCCGCGTCGGTCCCGTCGCCCGTGCAGGGGCGCTCCGACAGGATCACGTAGGACACCTGGAACTCCACGGGGAGTGTGCTCAGGGAGGGGAACGCCTCACCGCCAGCCATCTTGTGCGCCGCCCAGCTGAGCTCCACATGCCACTCGGAGGTGTCGCTGTGGTCTGCGCAGTTCACGGCCGCCTCCAGGGGCCCCTGCCTCTGCCCGCGGGTGCCCGCGGCCGCCTCCTCTGCGCTCGCCTCCCCGCCGGCTGGCGCGAGCTCGGGGCCGGCGACGACGACGACGTCCACGCTGTCGCTCGAGACCTGCTCCATCCCTTCCACGGCCTGAAGCCCACGGAGAATTCGATCGTTCAGCGTGGTAAAGGCGCGCAGGTTCGACTGCACTGCCGCCGCGCTGGCTCCCTCGGGGACCGCGACCGTCACGGCGCAGACCACGGACCCCCGGGACAGCTCGAGCGTGACGTCCTCGGCCTGGACGCCCTCGCCCGCTTCCTCCGCGACCGCTCTCCTCACCACGCCCTCGAAGCGGCGCCGCAGGCTCTCGTCTGCGGCCAGGCCGTCGTACCCCACGCCAGCGACCTTGATGCAGAGCGCCACGGCCGTCGATGGGCCCTGGCGCGGGTCTTCCAAGCCCGCCTCCGGCCCGTCGTCGGAGCCAAAAGAGGGCAGAATCAACTCCAACGGCTCGGACGTCTGGGACCACGCCGACGCGTGCTCCGGGCTGTGGACCTGGACGCTGAACACGTAGGTGTGGTACCGCAGGAGAGGCAAGCCGGTCAGGTCAAACTTGAAGGTGGCGGTCCCGTCTGTCGGGCCGCCTTGGCAGTCCTCCGCGTCCAAGAGCTGGAGGAGCTGCATTTCCTGCCAGGTCGCACCCTCGACTGTGTGTCCAGGCGGTGCATCCTTGGAAGAAGGGCGACGATGCGTATGAGGCGGAGGAGGAGGAGAAGGAGGAGGAGGAGGAGGAGGTGGAGAAGGAGGAATAGGAGAAGGAGGAGGAGGAGGAGAACGATTAGGAGGACGAGGAGGAGGAGGAGGAGGAGGAGGAGGAGAATTTTCACTCTGCGTACCGTGAGGCAGGACCGAAGGGGGCAACAGTTACGCCCACGATCGAGGTCGCGCCGTGCGAGCGACCTCCCCGAAACAAACGTGGCGCCCAGCGGTGCTCGTCGGACAACGCTGCCCGCCTCCTCCTCGCCCTCGTCCTCGTCGTCGTCCTCGTCGTCGTCCTCGTCGTCGTCGTCGTTCTCGTCGTCCTCGTCGTCCTCGTCGTCGTCCCCGTCCTCGTCGTCCTCGTCGTCCTCGTCGTCGTCCTCCTCCTCCTCCTCCTCCTCCTCCTCCTCCTCCTCCTCCTCCTCCTCCTCCCCCTCCTCCTCCTCCTCCTCCTCCTCCTCCTAGAGGGCGCGGGATACATGAAAGGCCAGCGGGCGAGCCCGCCCAGATGGCCGAGGGGCAAACGGCGCAGGCTGTCTCGTGTCGTTCGCGCCACAAGCGTAGCCCGAGGCCTTGAGCGGCCGGTCAGGACAGTCGGGAGGCCGGGCAATAATTACTGCCCGTGGATGCAATCACCACGGGCTCCACACGACGAGATGCAAGGGGGAAGCAGTAAAGTGAAGTCCATCCTGGAAAACGCAGAAGCAGGGCTGGCCCCTCATAACACGACCATTTGTCTGAGCCATCCTCACAAGGATTCCGAGGCAGAGGTGCGAGTGGGCCCTCGCTGTCCCCGGACCACAAAGATTCAGCAACCTGTCAGAGCACATGCCTGGGGTCCGCGACAAGACCGTCAGAAGGCCCAGGGCCCTCCGCCACGGTCGGTGCGCCTCCCACATGCACAGTGCCTCGCCCACCCTGTACCACAGCAACGGCTGTGAGGTCATGGCCCGTGCTAGCGGCAGGAACCGCTCCATCAGCATCATCCGCCCGCGTCAGCGCCGACGTGGAGCGCCGACCAGTCCAGGCGAGAGACCATGCAATTACTGGAGGGGCCCGCGCGAGCTCTTCCAAACGACCCCGTCGTCGCAATGGACAGCCCGCCACGTTCGGCATGGTTCTTCCACGATGTAGAGAGAAGTGGTGGGAGAGGTGAGAGGTAACCAGACCACGCGCGCCCAGTGCAAAAGAAGGGCCGCGCTCGCCCTCCACGCGGCCCCCCCGCAACAAGCCAACTTCGCATGAAACGGAATGCCGCGGCGGTAAAGAGGGGGGGAATAAGGGACGATTCGGAAGCTTGATTGTTTGATGTGTTCTCTCTCTCTATATCGTTTGTTTTGTTCTCTCTCTCTATCTCGCTTTCTCTTCCCCTTTTTGCTTTTCTCTCTCTCTCTTTCTCTTTCTCTCTCGATGGGCACATCTCTAATCTAATCCTACGAAGGGTGGGTCCACCTCTAACGGATGCCTATTAAGGGTAAAACCGTCCGCGAGAAGAAATTATAAAGTACGAATTCACTTCTGAGAGAATCGTATCATCGGTGGATCCACCTCTACTTGGATCCTGTTCGGGATGGGGCCACCTGTAATTTAATTCCGTTAGAGTTGAGCCACCTTGAACAGAATCCCAATAGAAGTGGAGCCACCTTTAGTAGTATTCGATCAATGATGAAGGCACCTCTAACACGGCCCTGTGAGATTTGGATCCCGCCCCGATGAAATCCTATTAGGGATGGGACCACCGCTACGCAATCGGCTCCTATCAGCGACTAACCCACCTCAGTAGTATTACTCTAAAGTTGGATCGGGCACACCTCGGATCAAATCCTCTTAGCGGTGGAGCGGCCTCGAACATTGTCTTAACAAGGATGGGGCCACCTGAGGGATGGATCCACCTCTGCGTGACTCCAATTGCGGATGGGGCAACCTCTACTAATGTCCGATTGAGAATGCAGCCACCTCAGAGATAATACCACTGGTGACGTTGCACCTTCTAACGCAATCCATTTTACTTAACAGCGAAGACTGATAGGTTTCTAATAGGGTCAAAAGAGAGCATCATGACGCCCCAGATGGGGTCTGGGCGCGATCCGGGGGAGGGTGCCGGGTATTTGTTTGCCAACAGTTACACACTTCGTGGTCTTCGAGGTCCCAGAACTCCACTCCTGGGCCACATTCTGAATGCCCGGACCAACTGTAAGCCACTTCGTGCTCTTCGAGTTCCCAGAACTCCATTCCCGGGCCACATTTTGAATGCCCGGAACCAACTGTAGGCCACTTCGTGCTCTTCGAGTTCCCAGAACTCCATTCCCGGGCCACATTTTGAATGCCCGGAACCAACCACTTCGTGCTCTTCGAGTTCCCAGAAGTCCACTCCCGGGCCACATTTTGAATGCCCAGAGCCAACTGTAGGCCACTTCGTGCTCTTCGAATTCCCAAAACTCACTCCCGGGCCGCATTTTCAATGCCCGGAGCCAGCTGTAGGAGGAGCAGGGGCAAGAGCACGATTAGGACCAGGACGAGCAAGACGAGGAGCACGAAGACGAGCACGAGGAGGAGGAGGAGGAGCAGGAGAAGGAGGACGAGCAGGAGGAGGAGGAGGACGAGGAATCCTTCATGCGAGGACGAGCAGGAGGACGAGCGACTGCGAGGACACCAGAATTCTACACCAGGGCTCCTGCATGAATCTCAAGGGCAATGTTTCCAGATATGCTTCTACACATCGCTGTTAGGTTGTTTTGCCGGGATAATTAAACATTGAGCAACCTTTAACAGCGTCCTGGTAGGGATGGGCCCACCTTAATCTAATCGTATTATGTATGAGGCCACCTCGACAGACGTCCGATCAGGGATATCAGCTTGGAACGTCATCCTTTAAAGGATGGCGTCGCCTCTAACAGAACCACAGCAGACTTGGAACCACTTGCAATTAAAGCAAATCAGGGATGGAGATACCTCTAATGTAATTCGATCAGGGAAGGCCCATGACTACTAGAAACCTATTAGAGGTGGGCCCAATTCTAGCCGATCCACAACTATGATTTAGCAACCCTGGAAGAAACTACGATCAATTAAGGACGCGCATATATTTAAAGTCCTATCAGGGAAGGTCCACCTCGTAAGGAAACTTGCTAAGGATGAAGCCGCGTGTACAAGCAAACAAACAGTGTCCACCTCTACCAGAAGCCCAGTAGAAGTGGGCCCACTTCCATAGAACCTGATTAAGATTGACAGCGACTGTAATATACAGCTACCGAAGAAAAAACCCAATCAGGGCTTTAGGGCCAAGGGGGCTATAGCGCTATAGGGCTATTGAGCTATAGAGCTTTACGGCTATAGAGTTGTAGGGCTATGTTGGGCTATTGGGCTATAGGGCTATAGGGCACCCCCGGGCACCCCCAGGCACCCCCGGGCACGCCCGGGCACCCACTTTGATCGTCGGGTGGCTGTAAGTGCGGTAAGAGCGTTCATCTTACATAATCTTAGTTAAGCCATAGAACGTACACTTGTTGATCGCGCATCTCATGTGTGCATATGCAATACTTATGGTGTTTGTAAGTGTAGATGTAAGTATATACTAAGTTAGATATCTCTGCTAAGTCGATGGGGCTGAACATATTCGTGTTTTTGCTAATCATTTGCGTATTTTTTATTCTTAACTTTTTTGAAATCCATTGAATTTCCGTTGTTGTTGTTGTTCAGTTGTTCAGGACCGAGGCGCCGCAGGTACTTGCTGTACCTCGCGGCCGCGGCGCTGCGGGCTGCGCGCATGCCCGCGGGGAGGGGGGAGGGAAGGAGGAAAATGTTTATCCATGTGTCTTCGGCCCTCCCTTATCCCCCCTTTCCTTAGGCGGCGCACCGCCTTCTCCTCCGTCGCCTCGTCCTCCGTCGGCGGTAATCCGCCTTCTCCCCCCCCCCATGGCGGCAATCCGCCTTCTCCCCCTCCGTGGCGGCAAACCGCCCTTCTGGCGGCAAACCGCTTTCTCCTCCTTTGGCGGCAAACCGCCTACCCCTTCTGGCGGCAAACCGCCTTCTCCTCCTCTGGCGGCAAACCGCCTACCCCTTCTGGGGGCAAACCGCCTACTCCTCCTCTGGCGGCAAACCGCCTTCTCCTCCTCGTGGCGGGAAACCGCTTCTTCCCAACCGCCCTATCGGCGGCTTGCTTTGCCGCCTCCTTCCACCCCCTCGGCGGCAAGCCGCCCACCCCTTTCCCCCCTCCCCTCCCTGGCCTCTCCTTGACCCACCCTCCCCCATAGCTCTCTTCTTCCCCCCCGCGCACCCTTCGGCACCCCCTCCCCCGCCCCCCCTTCGACACCCTCTCCCCCCTGCGCCCCCCCTCACCCAGGAGGAGGAGGAGGAGGAGGGAGAGGAGGAAGAGGAGAAGGAGGAGGAGGAGGAGGGGGAGGAGGGGGAGGAGGGGGAGGAGGAGGAGGAGGAGGAGGAGGGGGAGGAGGAGGAGGAGCAGGAAGAGCAGGAGTAGGATATGTCCGTCGCACGCGCGTTGGCTCGATCCGTTTTTGGCGAGCCCTCCTCCGAGGGCTTCGGGCGGCGTGCGCGCGCGGGGAGTCGCGCACTCCGCTCGGCGCGCGGTCGCGCCGCATCGCTGCCATGGAGGGCATCCTTCGAGGCCGCCTGGAGGAGGCGCGGGCGGCGTTCGTAGCGCGCGGCAGTGCGACGGAGCACCTTCCTGCCTGCATCCAGGCGGCGACGTCCCAGCGCTGGTCGCAGCTCCAGAGTGCGCAGTTTGCTGCTTTGGGCGGCGGCGTGGGGTGGGCGCAGTCCGAGCTGGGAGACTTCTTGCAGGCTCTGTCGTCGGGCAGCCTGCAGGGGAGGAAGCTCCAGAACTACGAGGGGTTCATTGAATTTCTGACGCCTCAGTTGTGGGAGTTCGTGCTCTCGCCGCATTCGGGCTTCACTGCCAAGATGGCGGCGTTCTCAGAGCACCTCGGGGCGCTTGGCTTGAGGCATCCGAG